TTTTATTTTATCAAGAGGACCACATAGATATTGTAGAACAATTCCGTACATTGTACCAGTGGTAACAAAATTGTCAATTGACATTACAAGATTTTTCTCATTTTCAAATATTTTATTATATTATCCCATTATGTCATGTTTTATACATATTTTTTTAAAAATATTTTTTTAAAATTCATTTTTAATTACACATTTTCTCAATAAAATTTCCAAAAAAATGTGAAATTTCAATGGACACAAAATTCCTCCGAACTGTGAACAAAAGATTACTTCAGATAACACAAAATAGCTAGATGTGTTGAAAGGAAAAACGATCCCTACAAACATTGCTTCAAAGCATTAGCATGAACTAAGCAATTAATCACAATTCTATAACTCATCTTCGTGGAAATATTTCCAAAATAAACACTTAATTTAACCAAAAACACTTACAAAAAAACAAATTAAAGAAGAAGAAGAAGGCTAAATCTTGACCCTATTAACCCCACCAACAAAAAGAAAATCAAGAGGAAAAAAAAAATTAAAGAAAGAACGAGAAATGAATATGAAAACATCATGAACAGTTTTACAAGTTTCTTCCTTTTGCATACGGCATCGTGACTCCCTTTGCTAATACCATATTACCATTGCTAACCACCAAACTTTCTCTTCTCTATCTCAGGACCTTCAACGAATGAAGCAAGAAATCTCAAGACTTTAATTTGGCTTTGCAATGTCACTATGTATTCAGCAGTTTCTTCAAACAGGGTGTCTCCACAAAGTGACTCTCCTCCCGGCACTATTTTCTGCAAAGCCACGATCTTTTTCTCAACCTCAGCTTTCTCATCGGAGTCTTCTCCGCCACCACTACTTTCTCCGGCGCCGCCACAGATGATTTCCACATGGGTTTTGTTTTTTATGCTTCTTCCATGGCTCTCCGGCTGCCGCACGCGACGGATGGTGGATTTGTTAGATTCTTGAACCATTTCTTGATTTGTCTGTTCTTTTCTTGATAATGTGGCTATGGTTGCTGGTTCAGCCTCACAATTACTACTTTTAGAACTTTCCATGAAATTGTAGAGAGGAGGAGAAGGAGGAGGAGGCGGTGGTGATGCATAGTCTTAAATTAATGAAATTTGAGTCGTATATATGTCAATGCCAACACAGCTAGGCCTACCTAGTTTGGGGATTTGGTTTCCCAACGCCCTGATTACGGATTTAAGTGGGGATCACGTAAACGCGCCTAATTTATCACTTAATTATCACTTATAATTTAGCTTGTTTGTCTCCCATTATGGGAGAAAGAATGATGTTTTGAATAATATTTTTTGGAGAATGTGTGGTTAAAATTGAAAGAAATTTTATTGATTTATGTGTAGAATATTTTATTATTTGAATGTGGGATGGGGATTGATTACTGTAGAAAACAACTTTTTGAAAAATGGTAGACAAACAGGGGCTGAAAGATGAATGCTATATGCACCCTCAAGTTAGGAATGATAAAAAAATCCGACAAACTCGATACCTGCGGGGCTACGTCCATAACGGGGGCGGGAACGGGTAACGGGGGCCCCGTCCCATTAAATTTTTTTATTTTTTTAATCTTTTTTAGAATTCAATATTTTATATGAAAATTTTCATTAGTTCTAATATAAAATAGGAATTAAAATTATTTGTCTAAATCTAATAAATATGAGCTTTAAAAATAAATTATCAAAAACTAAAAAAATTTAAACAGAGAATAAACGGGGAAAAGACCTACCCCGGCATGCCTTAAACGAGTAACGTCCGTTGCTGGATCCATACCCCAAGTTCGTCACTTGGTGAAACTTTATTTTTGGTCCACTAGCCAATGCACACATTTGCATTCTGTCACGTCAATATGTAACATCAAATTTTACTGCGACAAAAATTGAAAGAAGAAGCCTGAACTGAGAACAAAAATCAAATTGTTTTCGCGCTAGGTTAAATTATAGTAACTCATTTGAATATTGAATGGAAAGATAGCATCCTAGATAAGAATTGACTTCGAGAAAATCATACGAGAATTCTTATAAATCTTTAGGATTGTACTTATAATTGAAATGTAATATTAGTGAATATAATAGAGTTACAAGATACTCGTATAAATTTAATGTTGACATAATTGCCTAATTGGGTCATAATGATTTTTCCTTGATCATATCAAAAGTGATAATCATGAAAGTAAGTGTTTTTTCTGTAGCCATAAGCAAAGAGCGTTGGTGACACGTGTGTGCAAAAGAGAGTGAGAACGGAACGGAGATTGTCTAACGGGTGGAGGAAAACAGGATAGGGTCGCAGGTTGTAAAAAGGTTCCAGTGTCAAAAAAATCAAAGGCAGCACATGTGATCACAAGGATTTCTTGAACCTACTACTTTCCATGTGCCTTCCTCCTCCACCTCCCTCTTCTCTTTGGAACACGTGTTCTTTTTTGGGCTCCACACACGCACAACCTTTTCAGCGTGACTTTGTGAGTGGTGACACGGGTGTTAAGAGGAGCGAGCCGCTCGTCTATTTTGCTCGCTCCGCAAATGAGTCCAGCTCACTCGACTCGTGTTTGAATGAGTTGGGGTGCAAGTCGAATCGGGGAAATTTTGTGGGAATTCACTATCATGGGAAAGTTGGATGGGGCGAGCCAAGTCGAAATTTTGGAATCAAGTCAACTCGGATGGTGGGCATAGTTGATCTCGACGGTGGATGAACTGAACGATTCCACTCGACCCGTTTAACATCCCTACTACTGTGATTTAGTACGGAAAGGGTGGTGTGGCAATTTAAGAATGAGTACTGTCATTTATTATTATAAGTATTAATTAACAATTTATACGATAGTTAGATCGATGTCATATAGACGGATAATGGACATCGACGGCGATAATTAGAAGTATTGAATTCTTTTAAGGATTGTTGTCAGGTTCATATTATTAATGAATAATTTATTATTTGGATTTCGGGCGATATATAATAATTTGGAATGAGAATTTTTTTTGTAGAATTGTTTTCCTTTTCTACTTTTTTTAACGTGTATTGATGCAGTGATTATGGAAGCAATGAAGAAATGTCCAAATTTGATTCGTTTCTATCTACACTTTTCAATTACATTTAAGAATGTTGATGAATTAATTTTCAAGGGATTGATTTGTTAGTAATTTATCATTTTGACTAAGGTCTTCCCTTCAATTATTTTTTCTTCATTCAGACTCTTATGCACATATATTTCAAGCTCTCCTTGACCTCATGTTGATACCACATGAAAACACAACAGAAGATATGTTTGCAGGATCGTCTGACTATTAGATGTCAGGATAATCATCTAACAACTAGGGATGACAATTTGAACTGTGAAAATCGAAAACCGCGGGTAATCGAACCGAATGGAGCGAAAAAAATCGAACTAATGGTGCAATGAGGTGGTTGTGATTTTTATTTTAATAACCCGATTCGTGGTGGGGCGGGTATGGTATTTAACAACAATGCCCCGTCCCGAACCGATTACCCGCTAAAAAANATATCAAAAGTGATAATCATGAAAGCAAGTGTTTTTTCTTTAGCCATAAGCAAAGAGCGTTGGTGACACGTGTGTGCAAAAGAGAGTGAGAACGGAACGGAGATTGTCTAACGGGTGGAGGAAAACAGGATAGGGTCGCAGGTTGTAAAAAGGTTCCATTGTCAAAAAAATCAAAGGCAGCACATGTGATCACAAGGATTTCTTGAACCTACTACTTTCCATGTGCCTTCCTCCTCCACCTCCCTCTACTCTTTGGAACACTTGTTCTTTTTTGGGCTCCACACACGCACAACCTTTTCAGTGTGACTTTGTGAGTGCCGAGTGGTGATAGGGGTGTTAAGAGAAGCGAGCCGCCCGTCTATTTTGCTCGCTCCGCAAATGAGTCCAGCTTACTCGACTCGTGTTTGAACGAGTTGGGGTGCAAGTCGAATCACGGAAATTTTGTGGGAATTCACTATCATGGGAAAGTTGGATGGGGCGAACCAAGTCGAAATTTTGGAATCAAGTCAACTCGAATGGTGGGCATAGTTGAGCTCGACGGTGGATGAACTGAACGATTCCACTCGACCCGTTTAACATCCCTACTACTGGGATTTAGTACGGAAAGGGTAGTGTGGCAATTTAAGAATGAGTACTGTCATTTATTATTATAAGTATTAATTAACAATTTATACGATAGTTAGATCGATGTCATAGAGACGGATAATGGACATCAACGGTGATAATTAGAAGTATTGAATTCTTTTAAGGATTGTTGGCAGGTTCATATTATTAATGAATAATTTATTATTTGGATTTCGGGCTATATATAATAATTTGGAATGAGAATTTTTTTTGTAGAATTGTTTTCCTTTTCTACTTTTTTTAACGTGTATTGATGCAGAGATTATGGAAGCAATGAAGAAATGTCCAAATTTGATTCGTTTCTATCTACACTTTTCAATTACATTTAAGAATGTTGATGAATTAATTTTCAAGGGATTGATTTATTAGTAATTTATCATTTTGACTAAGGTCTTCCCTTCAATTATTTTTTCTTCATTCAGACTCTTATGCACATATCTTTCAAGCTCTCCTTGACCTCATGTTAATACCACATGAAAACACTACAGAACATATGTTTGCAGGATCGTCTGACCATTAGATGTCAGGATAATCATCTAACAACTAATCCCATATTCACTAACACGGTACAATATCTAATGGCACAACCAGACTCGAGGGTTCTCCAATAATCCTACTGGGTCGATAGTAATCTCACAAACACATGCCCGCTTAACTCATCAAGCTCATGACTCAAAGATCGAAACCCTACCTATTACCTCCTATGAAAGATAAAATACACACTATAGAGCCTCCGATGCATAGCTCAGTGATGGAAATCAAGAGTCTTTAATTTTAATCAATTACCCAAAGTCAAATGCTTGTACGTGTAAACAAATTTAAGGGTACCACGGATTCCAAATCCATGGTATCTGAGTGATGGTTTGCGATGTTGCAACAAAGGGGACAGCAGTCGGCCGGGGTAGGGATCACGGGATTGACTTTCTTTGGAGGGTAGTTTTAAATGTAGGCCATTTGGGACTCCATGTGATTACACCTACTAATTTTGTTTTATATATTACTAAGTATTCATAAATAAGTCACAAATGTGCAAACTCAAATTCCTATTTATCATCTTTTTTTATCAAATTTACTGCTAAAAGTATGAAAAGAAGGTTTTTGAAAATAGTCACACTAATAATGACTCAACTTGCATACCCCTTTCTTTGGTTCAAGTTTTGTTCATTCTATTGTCGACTATTTAGCTCTCACATTATTGGAGAGTTGGGTGCCTTGTGTC